TAAATTACCATGTTTGTATATTGGCAAGCGAAATATACAAATGGAATTCTGAAAATTTTCTAAATGTATAAATACAAAATTTGTATTATTTATCATGTTTGTATATTCGAAAGCAAAACATACACACGGGCAAGCGAAGTATACAAAATGCAATCCCCGTTTGTATATACTTATCCTGTTTGTATATTTCCAAGTGAAATATACAAACGGACAAGCTAAACATACAAACCGCAATCTCCACAGTAAACATAACCATATCTATAGAGCACAATTACTGAAACTATAAATATAGACCCTTATTATATCTATTATCTTTGTTATTTCTGAAAATTTCTCAATTTTTAATATGTCTAACAAAATTATATGAAAAAATACATAATAATTACTATTATAACATTCATTACATATGATTAGTGGTGCTCCAAATTATAATCTAACATCAAAAAATGAGAAGATTTGCATAACAAATGTGGCAAATAGTGACGTTGTTTCAATAATTCTAAATAAAAATCTAACAAAAAATATTAAAATAGTAATCTTTTTTCACAAATAAATAAATACAAAAAGATTGAAATAACAAATTTGGAAACTAAAGAACAGTTACAACCTAAAAATTTATACTTTTTTTAATACAAATTAAATATACTTTTAGCCCATTGACAGTTCTAGTAAAAAGTTAATTATGAACTTATGATTTAGATTTTTGTAATGCTTGATTGAGAAATTGCCTAAAAAGGTCTCTTATGTTTGAGGGGTATTTTATCAACTTGTGTACTTAGATTTTGTAATGTTTAACTGGGAAAATGACTAAGTGAAAGTCTCTTACATTTGAAAACAAGTTTATGGTACTTCAATTATGCATTTTAGTTACATTACTTAATTAACCACACTATGTGGCTTAAATATATCTCGAGTTGATATATACGTCTGGATTTCGATTGAAATACTAATATTGAAAATAAGCTTTGAGAGATTTGCTTTGATCCTTTAAATTTGTCGCAAATTAATAAAAATGGTCTCTTATATTTGAGAAAAGGTTCAAAATAATTACTTCAAATTAATAATTTTGATCCTTCAAATTTATCATAAATTAACAAAATATATATTCGAAGATACAAAATAGTACTTCTCCGGCCACAAAAATCTCATGGAATATGACATACCAATATAAAAAAAAACCCTTTTTTTGTGTCTTATTAAATTAGGTCGCAGAGATCGCATTTTAAGCTTTGTTTGTAATTGGTAAAATCATTTAGCTTTTTGGTTTTATTTCACACCTACTTAAATCAACAAGATAACAACAATATCATACCCAGGGTAATCCCTTAAGTGGGGTCTGAAGAGGGTAGAATGTATGTAAATCTTACTTCCACCTTTGTGGGATAAAAATATTGTTTTCGATAGATCCTCGGGTCAAAAAAGTACGTGACGATCAAAGCAGCATAATAGTGTAAAAAGGTATCATGCAATTGGACAAAGCAAATGTTTTAATTTCTTATTGCAGACTGGAATATTACATGGTAAAAATCCAATAACATTCTCCCTTCTTTTCTCCTGTTAAGGGAGAAATAAAAATCTCTGAAATAATTGGACTTAACAATGTCTACTAATTTAGTCTTCATTATTCATATTATCATATCTTCTTGCTCTCTAGCCACCGGGCGTAGAACGCCAATGCCTCTCGTGGTTTGTACTCAGGCACGGTGTGTCCAGATCCCTGAAGATTTCGGAAATCAATCAATTAAATCAAAGAAAAAAAATATATAATATGAAAAATATTTCTTTGATATGAACATACCTTAATAGTCAGAAAACTGAGGTTGTTGGCATAACCTTGTGTGTAACTGCAGAAAAGATTTCAGCATTTAAAATGAATTGCAACACATTATAGAAGTTAAAAAACATGAAGAGGATTTAGAAGGTGAAAACGCGAACATACCCTGCAACTTGTTCGTTCACATACCAAGGCCTCCATTTATCCACGATTGGATATCCAAGTGAACTTGTCCATTTTTCTGAACCAGTGTGTGGTACACACATATCGTGATCCCCACTGCAACAAACAAATATGTGTCTTAGTCAATGTCTATTCGTGTTTTACACGAGTAATACAGGAGGATGGAAAAATGAACAATAAGAGACTCAGTAATCTAGTGGACCTGTATATTAGTGCTCGATATCCATGAGCTGTGAGGTTTTTGTGATACGGAATCATGCTTCCAGCATCGTGACTGAAAGTTATGCTGTCCGTGCATAGCTCCCAGGGACCTATAACCGTTGTCTGTTGGACCATAGGATTGAACCATAAATCACCAACTCTATTTTTTTGTTTTTGTTTTTGCACTTATATCTTAAAGTTAGTACAAGATGAGAAAATTATGTCTTACTTGTTCAGCATGAATTGCTTTACGAACATCTTCATTGTTTAGCCACACACTAGAAACACGATCGTCCTGCATATTTCATTTCAGATTATGTGTCTGTTAAAGAGAACAAACAAAAAATGAAGAGCGAGTGACTTACAGTGCAAGGGACGGTTAACTCATTGAGAAGCTCTGGCCAAGTTGGGACAAGTCCGTCTCTTACTGGAGCTTTAAAAGGCCAAGCACGGCCAAACATTCTCTTTCTGATAGGAAGAGGCCTTTCTGTCTCACCTAGTTTACGAAAGCTCATTGGCAATCTTGAGTTATCATTGGTGATTGCACTAGGTTCGGTGTTGTGGTAACATGGTTCTAGAACGTCATACACGTTTAGATCATTAACTTCCTGCAATAGGCGAAAAAGGTGCATTTGGACCAATAAACCAGAACAATGAATTGCTTATTGTTCATGTCGCCACAAAATGAATCAAGTATCACAGAATAACACCTAACCTGATCAATTTCATTAAGCTTGTCTTTACAATTCTGACTCCCTGGTTCATAGAAATTTCCATGGCACGCGACAGTGACTTCCTGAGAATGAAAAGGAATAATCAGGGACCAGTTGCTATTATATTGGAGTGGTAAATGTATAAACATAGCTTATTTAGTAACATCTTTTTTTGTGGATTTTTGAATTCTAAAAAAGTTCAGAAGTCAAATGATTCCACAAGAAGAACCAAATACCTCGAATAATTTATCTGAAATGAGGCCCATACCATGTTGAAATGGAACAAGAGCATTACCGTCTATTTTCTCATCTGTCACGCCATTTCCCACCATGTAACCCTGTGCAATAGAACATAAAGATCAGTTTACAGCCCAGACAACTGGTTAACGCGTGAAAATCTTGAAACGTATATACCTTGAAGTTGATGGCAGGCTTTACTCCAGCATCAATACCTATAAAACATAAGCCGCAGAAGGTTAGTTTGTTTATCCCCTGCCTAGCACCAACCAATACATGTTCATTTAAGATCCAGATTACCTTTTGCTACTTCAGAAGCCAGAGTTGGCACATATATTCCAGCATAAGACTCTCCAGTTATGTAAAATGGATTCATGAGGAACTCCGGGTAGATCTCAAACCACTATCAAAAGCATCATTTAGCAGAACAACAAATGAGTCAGGACATAGATAGCGTAAAACTAGTAAATTTATATAGTTTTACCTTGAGGAGAAACGAATGGGTATCTGATGCAGTCTTTAAATCTCCTGTCTCATAGTCAGATTTATTTTTCGAGTAAGATAATCCAACACCAACAGGAGAGTCCAGATATATTATATTGGAAACCTGGAAGAATCAAATCATAATGAGTGACTAATGAAATGTAAGCATATGATAAAAGTAGAATTAACACAAATAATAACCTTGGACCAACTGTATGGGTTGTTATGCAGAATAGGCAAGCTACCATTTGTCTTTCCCAACTCAAAACTGAAAGGTCCTGCAATGTATAGAACAAAAGAATCAGCTGTTACATCAACTGTTAACATTAATCCGCCCAAATTCAGCCCAACGCGTAAGTAGAATTAGAGTTGTTACCATGCTCATAGACAAAGCCATCAAAGCTTGAACAGCCAGGTCCACCATTAAGCCAAAGAACAATTGGATCCTTGGATGGGTTTTTTTTCAGATTCAACAAAGTAGTAATACATATTCTTGCCATGACTTTCATCTATATTAACATACCTGAAAACCCATTTTCACGATATATTAAAAAAAAAAGTACAAAAATAAAGATAAAGTTTATATCTTTTTATCAAAAAAACACAAAAAAATAAAAAATACAAACCCAGCATAATGTTTTGACTGAAATTTGCCAGTGAAGCCAGGGAGTTGAGTTACCAGTGCACTCTGAGGTGCTCCTTCTGTTAACAAAAACAAAAATACGAAGAATGTTAAAACTATATAACACTGTAAAAATTTGATTTTTATTGCCATGTTTGGTGTATCAAGATTCTTAAGAGAAAAGAATTCTTTGATGGGGTTTTTATAGTTTCAGAAAATGAAGTGAAACATCATTATAATAACTACTCAATCAATTTTTGCTTTTAAGTCAAGATTAATTTACGCTAGTTTTTAATATACAGTTAAAAGTCAAATTATAGAGGAAATTGGTTATTATCTAATACTTATATGGTTTAATGTTCTTTAATATCTGATGGGTTGGTATTTTATCAACTTATGATCTTAGATCTTTGTAATGTTTGACTGGTAAAATTACAAAAAAAAAGTCTCTTATATTTAAGACGGGTAAAATAGTCCATTGAATATATAAACTTAATAGTTTTTGTCAAATTTATGATTTGAAGTTTACGAACGTGAAATACAACCGAATCTATTGATCATTTGAGTTACCGGATTTCAAATTTAAAATTCATACATATTTAGTAGATTTCTTTAACACGTAGAAATTGATATGAACATGCTTTAACAGTCAGAAGATAAATTGGATAAACAGAGAAATTATCATTTCTTATTGGATAAATTTATATATATATATATTCAAATACATGGTAAAAATTCAATATTCTTCTCCCTTGTTTTCTACTCATAAGGAAAAAGAAAAAATCTCAGAAATAATTGGACTTAATGTCTACTAGTTCAGTCTTCATTCTTCATATCATCATATGTTCTTGCCCTCTAGCCACCGGGAATAGAACGCCATTGCCTCTCGTGGTTTGTACTCTGGCACGGTGTGTCCAGCTCCCTGAAGATATCGGAAATCAATTGACAGAATCAAAGAGGAAAAAAAATAGAAAAATGAAACTTTTTCTTGATATGAAGATACCTTAATAGTTATAAAAATGAGGTTGTTGTCATAACCTTGTATGTAACTGCAGAAAATACTTAAGCATTTAAAATGGATTTTACAGAATTGCAACACATTAGAGAAGTTAAACATGAAGAAGGTTTAGAAGGTGAAATCGCGAACATACCCTGCAACTTGTTCATTCACATACCAAGGCCTCCATTTGTCCACGATTGGATATCCAAGTGATCTTGTCCATTTTTCTGAACCAGTGAATGGTACACACATATCATGATCCCCACTGCAAGAAACAAAAAGATGAACATAATTGTTCTGGTTATAGCATAAAAAAATATCTCGGATAATTTGTGTGTGATCAGGTACATGCTCACTAACAACAATTACCTTAGGCAGCCTACTACATGAGAATAGTGGAAGAACATGTTATAGTAATGGTTGAAAGTTAGTTTGATAGGGAAAACATCGCATCAAAATTCAAAGCAGTATATAGAAAATCATGTCAAACATTTTAAGACGTCACCAAATGGAAAGAGTGTCATATAAGATGGGACATAGGAGTAACTGCTGCTACAGATCTACAAGTAGCACATATGTAGACAATTGTCTTTTTTTTGAGGACTAGTGTACCATGGTAATCATTGACGAGTCTTTACATTTACACAGAGCATTTAAATTGGAACATGAGAAACCATAGATGAGGTCAGATTTGTGTCATTTGTATCTTTGTTTTCATGTCTCCACAGTATGTAACATCGACCTGCTATCTGGTAAGAGATAGTTGCAAAACTTCAACCATTGTTTTTGTTTCATGAGTAGTGTGTACTTAACATGGGGGGCTATCGTATTCGAGAAACCAAGTAGTTTTATAATCCCAATAAGTATGTGCTTTAGGCATTTAGACAACAGACAACAACAACAACAACAACATACCCAGTGGAATCCCACTAAGTGGGGTCTGGGGAGGGTAGAGTGTACGCAGACCTTGCCACTACCTCGTGGAGGTAGAGAGGCTGTTTCCGAAAGACCCTCAGCTCAAGTACATCAAATCCACCATCCAATAAGAAAGATAGTGAATAATCAACAGAGGAGACAGTAGCCTCAATAGAACAATGAGAGAAGTGAAACGCAAAACAACATAAGGCTATAGGTATCACAGACAAGAACTGCAAGTGCAAGGCTAAGACTACTACACACGCTAACAACCCATACCCTCGCAAGAAAGGACAACACACTAGCCCTACTAACCTTCAACCTTAATACACGACCTTCACTCCTTCCTATCTAGAGTCATGTCTTCAGTAATGTGAAGCTGAGCCAAGTCCTGTCTAATCACCTCTCCCCAATACTTCTTAGGCCTACCTCTACCCCTCCGCGTACCCTCTACAACCAGCCCCTCACACCTCCTCACTGGGGCGTCTTCGCACCGTCTCTTCACATGTCCAAACCATCTCAGTCTCGCTTCCCTCAGCTTGTCCACCACAGAGGCCACTCCCACCTTCTCCCGGATAACTTCATTCCTAATCTTATCACTCCTAGTGTGCCCACACATCCATCTCAACATCCTCATCTCCGCAACCTGCATTTTCTGAACATGTGAGTTCTTGACTGGCCAACACTCCGCTCCGTACAACAAGGCCGGTCTAACTACCACTCTGTAGAACTTACCTTTAAGTCTAGGTGGAATTTTCTTATCACACAAGACTCCAGAGGCATTCCTCCATTTCATCCAAGCAACCCCAATGCGGTGTGTGACATCATCGTCGATGTCGCCACTTCCTTGGATTACAGACCCAAGATACTTAAAACTTTCTTTCTTAGGGATGATCTGTGTGGCAAGTCTCACTTCCATATCTGCCTCCTCCAACGCATCACTGAATTTGCACCCCAAATATTCTGTTTTGGTCCTACTCAACTTGAACCCTTTGGACTCAAGCGTTTGTCTCCACACCTCCAACCTCGCATTAACTCTATCCCACGTCTCATCAATTAGTACTATGTCGTCCGCAAATAACATACACCACGGAACCTTTTCCTGAATAGACCGCGTCAACTCATCCATCACCAAAGCAGCATTTAGACAACAGAATATACATGAAATGCACAGGACAACCAGTTTTCTCTCTGTAGGTGTTTTACATAATATTACATGAGTAATTCAAAAGAAAGAAAAAAAATGCATAGAGAGCAGTTAGAGACTTAGTAATCTATTGAACCTGTATATGAGTGCCCGATATCCCCGAGCTGTGAGGTTTTTGTGATACGGAATCATGCTTCCAGAATCATGACTTAGACCTATTTTGGCTGTGCATAGCTCCCAGGGACCTATCACCGTTGTCTGTTGGATCATAGGATTGAACTATAAATCATCAACTTTATTTTTTTGTTTTGGTTTTTGCAGTAAAGGTAAATCATCATCTTTAAAGCTAGTACAAGACGAGAAAATTGTATCTTACTTGTTCAGCATGAATTGCTTTACGAACATCTTCATTGTTTAGCCACGCAGTAGCAACACGATCATCCTGCATATTTCATTTCAGATTATGTGTCTGTTGAAGATTAAACCGCCATGATGCTAAACTAGTCAGAGATAAGGAAATTCACTCCATTAAAGAGGTCAAGAAAGGATGAGTGAGGGTTCCAAAATAAGAAAGTCCTTGAGAAGCTTCAAAACTAAGAAATGAATTCCTCAAAGAGGGAACAAAATAAGCTTGAAAGAAGTTAAAATTTACAACAGTTGGACAATAGAATAAGTGCATAAGAATGCTTAAAAGATAAACAGGATGCATAGCTAGAGTAATTGACATGTTTTGATATAAAATTAGTTAAGTTGGGAATTCAATGGAGAGCCATTATTAGAGAACAAACAAAAGGAAACACAAAATCAAGAGTGACTTACAGTACAAGGGACATCTAAACCATTGAGAATTTCTGGCCAAGTTGGGACATGTCCCGCTCTTACTGGAGCTTTAAAAGGCCATGCACGGCCAAACATTCTTTTTCTGACAGGAAGAGGCCTTTCTGTCTCACCTAGTTTACGAAAGCTCATGGGCAATCTTGAGTTACCAGTGGTAATTACACTAGGTTCTTTGCTGTGGTAACATGGTTCTAGAATGTCATAGATGTTTAGATCATTAACTACCTGCAATAGGCGAAAAGGTAAATTTGGGTCAATAAAGCAGTGCAACGAATTGCTGTCTCGACGAAATGTGTCAAGTATGACAGAATAACACCTTACCTGATCAATTCTATTAAGCTTGTCTGAACAATTACTACCCGCTGGTTCGTAGAAATTTCCATGGCATGCAACAGTAGCTTCCTGAGCATGAAAAAGAATAATCAGAGACCAGTTGCTAATAGACAACGAGGCAATGATTATGTTTTTGCTGATGTATTGGAGTGGTAGATGTATACACATAGATTGACATTTGTTTTGTAACATCTTTTTTGGTGGATTAAAACTGATCACTATCTTCTGGCAATTTCAAATATGTTTGACAAACCTTCTCATATATACCAGAAGCTATTAAGGCTCCAATGTGTTATGCTACAATAATTTGGAACATGTCCTAATTAAAAGCATTAGAGGCTTCAAACATCATCTTTTGCCAGCTATGACTTCCAGAAATCTAAAACAGTTCAGAAGTCAAATGATTCAAGCACTAAAAAATCAAACAAGAAGAAGTAATTACCTCGTATAAGTCATCTGAAATGAGGCCCATACCATGTTGAAATGGAACAAGAGCATTAGCGTCTATTATCTCATCTGTCACGCCATTTCCCACCATGTAACCCTGTGTGCAATAGAATGTTAAGACTTAAGAGTTTACAGCCCAGACAACTAGTTAACATGTGAAAATCTTGAAATAACATATACCTTAAAGTTGATAGCGGGCGTTACTCCAGCATCAATACCTAAAAGACATAAGCAGAAGAAAGTTAGTTTGTTTAGCCCACCACACCAACCAATACATGTTCATTTAAGATCCAGATTACCTTTTACTACTTCGTAAGACAAAGTTGGCACATATATTCCTGCATAAGACTCTCCAGATATGTAAAATGGGTTCGTGAGGAACTCTGGGTAGATCTCAAACCACTAGAAAGTGCATCATTTAGTAGAACAACAAATGAGTTAGGACATAGTTAGCATAAAACTAGTAAATTTAACTATCAACCCAAGTTTATGTAATATTACCTTGAGGAGAAACAAATGGGTATCAGATGCAGTCTTTAAGTCTCCTGTCACGTAGTCAGATTTATTTTTCGAGTAAGATAATCCAACACCAACAGGAGAATCCAGATATATTACACTGGAAACCTGGAAGAATCAAATCATAATGAGTGGCTAATGAAATGTAAGCATATGATAAAAGTAGAATTAACACAAATAATAACCTTTGACCAACTGTATGGATTGTTATGCAGAGAAGGCAGGCTAGTACTTGGCTTTCCCAACTCAAAATTAAAAGGTCCTGCAATGTAAAGAAATACCCTTTCTTACTATAAAAAAACAACAAAAAGATATGTAAAAGAAATCCTTTGTTTATGATGAATAAGAATAGCAACTGCATCTCTATGGACTACATTTCCAACTAACATCTTTTACTTGAGCTGGTTAAAAGAATTTTCAAATCTGTCAAGGAAGAAAGAGACTGTCAAAAACACAGTTTTGGTTGACCTATTATCTATGTAAAATATTAAAAAGTTTTCAACTTTTATACATTGAATGTGTCAAAAAAAGCATTTTCACACTAGCAGATCAGTTAAAAGATAACTACAAGTATGAGTTAATAACTATCAAATGACAATAAAAAAGGGCAATCCGGTGCACGAAGCATCCCACTTTAGCAGGATTTGTACTCTAATGCAAGCATTAGTGGTTGCTTCCATAAAAAGCGAGACTACTAACATGAAGAATAAGAGAGGTTATCAACTACAACATGTGAAAATACACTGATAATGTAAAGACTCTTTACCCTAAAGATAAACCAAACGTGCTATTAGTCCCTTGTACAACTATAAAAACAAAAGGAGATCTACATCTACTATAAAAAAAAGTACAACCTAGTACATATAATGTAATTTTCCGACAGAAGGGTTGTTACCATGCTCATAGACAAAGCCATCAAAGCTTGAACAGCCAGGTCCACCATTAAGCCAAAGAACAACTGGATCCTTTGATGGATTTCTTTCAGATTCAACAAAATAGTAATACAAATTCTTTCCATGACTTTCATCTATGTTAACATACCTGAAAACCCATTTTCAAGAAACATTCAGAAAAGTACAAAAATAAAGATAAAGTTGAGATCTTTTTATCAAAAAACACAAAAAGAACACAAACCCAGCATAATGTTTTGAGTGAAAAGTGCCATTGAAGCCAGGGATTTGAGTTACCAATGCACTCTGAGGTGCCCCTTCTGTTACCAAAAACAAAAATATCAAGAAACTAGTAATTAACAGTATATTACAATGTAAAATAAAGTTTTTTCTTGCCATGTTTAATTTGGTATATCAAGATTCTGAATTTTTTGATGGGTTTTTATATTTTGAGAAAATAATTATACTGTATCTAAAAAGTAGTCCATCAATTTTTTCGCTTTTAAGGCAAGATTGGGAGAAACTGACAGAATATAAGGTTTTCAAAATACAGTAAATTAGTTATTATATGGTTGTTATTTAATAGTACCAAATTGGTATATTATAATTGAATTATCTTACCAAGAAAAAAGATAATACTATAAATGAACTCACATGCTTATGCTGGTATGACTTTTCTAACGGAAAATACTCTGTTATTTAATCATTGTTTTTGTTGAAACTTTTATGGCATTTGTTATTCTATAGCTTCCTATCTATTCTAAGTCTGAGCTAGAATTTTAAGTTTATAAGTTTTAATTTTAGAAAAAACAGATTATTGAATAAATCATACATATATAACCTATAACAAAAATGGTAATTTCGTTCATATTATTTTTGGTTCAATTCATTCTTTATTCATTATATCACTCACTTTGTTTCATTTTACGTGATACTATTATTATTTATTGGCGCATTTCAAAATAATAATAAACACATTTTATATTTAATAATAATTTATTTTTTACCATTTTATTTTAATCTTAATATCTTTTAAAAAATCTCATAATATCTTTAATATCACAAATAAAAAAAACTATATTTATATATTTTGTGTCTAATTAAATTGCAATTATTGATGCTATATATTTTCATATAGTAAAAAGCTCCCACCTACTATCTTTTTTTTTCTTTTTTAAAGCAAAAAGCTCATTTTGCTGTTAGAATATAAATTTATTCAAAGTCTGATAAAAAGGGTGACTGTACATACCACATCAAACTATTTTTTTTTTCATTTTCTTTGTAACAATTCCACTAAACAAAATATTCTAAAGTTCATTGATACTCAGCTTCATATATACGTAGTTATGTCATATATGTTACAGTGTTGTCAAATTGGTTAGATTATTATTTATATGAAGATATTATTATTACATATATTTGACCTAATAAAGATAGTATGAATCATCTCAGCTCCAATTATAATGGGTGACTACGGAAAATCAGTTTCAAGCCACTGTTTATGACAGAGTTTCGATTATGCCTGACCATCATAATATTAATAATCGAGATTTATGATTAATAGAGGAGTCCAACCACAATCATTATTGGTTCACCTTACAATTTTTTCAAAAGATTTGAAAATATTTTGAATCATTATTTTTGTTCATTTGTAGTACGTAAATAACAGGAATTTCAGAGCAGAAAGAAAAGTTGATTAAAGACAATGTTATAACAATAATATCTATTATACAACTATTTTTGTGTAATTCATAACAACCAGAGGACGATGTGACACGCCTATTTTAATTTTGGTACTTAGAATTAATCACAATAACAAATCCTATCTTTATTTGTAGATATTTTTTCTATGTACGAACTATCTCTTCACAGTGAGACTGCGAAATCATTTAGCTTTTTGGTTTTAGTTAACCCCTACTTATTCAACGTGACAACTACAACAACATGATACTCAATAAAATTTCATAAATGAGGTCCGAGGACCCTACTTTTTATGGGATTGTTTTCGATTAACCATGTTTTCAAATAGTTGTGGATGAGCTTAAATAAGTGTGGGAGATGAATACTGGAGTGAAATAATGAATATGAGCATGCATGCCTCAACAGTCACAAGGTACATTGGATAACATACAAATACTTATTTCTTATTGCAGACTGAAATACATGATAAAAATCCAATATTATCTCAGAAATAATTGGACTTAATGTCTACAAATTCATTCTTCAGTATTCATATTATTCTTGCCCTCTAGCCACCGGGCATGTCTTCCAATTCAATCTTCATCATTCATATTATCATATCATTGTTCATATTATCATATCTTCTTGCCCTCTAGCCAGCGGGTGTAGAACGCCAACGCCTCTTGTGGTTTGTACTCTGGCACGGTGTGTCCAGATCCCTGAAAATATCGGAAATCAATTTAGATCAAAGAAAGGTGAAAAAACAGAAGAATGAAAGTTTTACTTGATATGAACATGATACCTTAATAGTCATAAAAATGAGGTTGTTGTCATAACCTTGTATGAAACTGCACAAAAGATTTAAGCATTTGAAATGGATTTAGAATTGCAACACATTAGAGGAAGTAAAACAACATGAAGAGGATTTAGAAGGTGAAAACGCAAACATACCCTGCAACTTGTTCATTCACATACCAAGCCCTCCATTCATCCACGATCGGATATCCAAGAGATCTTGTCCATACTGCTGAACCAGTGAATGGAACGCACATATCGTGATCCCCACTGCAAGAAACCAAAAAATGAACATAATCATTCTGGTTATAGCATCAAAAAAAGATTTCGGATAATTAGCGTGCATGTGATCAGGTACATGCTCACTAAACATACGAGAAATTAAAGAGGACAAAAAAATGCATAGAGAGAAGTTAGAGACTTAGTACTCTATTGAACCTGAATATGATTGCCCGATAGCCCCGAGCTGTGAGATTTTTGTGATACGGAATCATGCTTCCAGAATCATGAAAAAGATATATTTTGTCTGTGCATATCTCCCAGGGACCTATCACAGTTGCCTATTGTTGTACCATAGGATTGAACCATGCATAAATCACCAACTCTGTTTTTTTTATTAAAGGTAAAGATGAGAAAATTGTATCTTACTGGTTCAGCATGAATTGCTTTACGAACATCTGCATTGTTGAGCCACAGAGTAGCAACACGATCATCCTGCATATTTCATTTCAGATTAAACCAGAATTTGAGATAAGGAAATTCACTCCATTAAAGAGCTAGGTCACAATAGGATAAAGGGAGGGTTCCAAAATAAGAAAGTCCTAAAAAGCAAAAAATGAATTCCTCAAATTAGAGAGAACAAAATAAGCAGAACTTAAAATTTACAACAGTTGGACAATAGAATAAGTGCATAAGAATATTTAAAAGATAAACAGGATGCATAGCTAGAACAATCGACATGTTTTGATATAAAATTAGTTAAGTTGGGAATTCAACGGAGAACGATTAGAGAACAAACAAAAAATGAAGAGCGAGTGACTTACAGTGCAAGGGACTTCTACACTATTGAGAATCTCCGGCCAAGTTGGGACATGTCCGGCTCTTACTGGAGCTTTATAAGGCCATGCACGGCCAAACATTCTTTTTCTGACAGGAAGAGGCCTTTCTGTCTCACCTAGTTTACGAAAGCTCATAGGCAATCTTGAGTTACCAGTGGTAATTACACTAGGTTCTTTGCTGTGGTAACATGGTTCTAGAATGTCATAAATGTTTACATCATAAACTACCTGCAATAGGCAAAAAGGTGAGCATATATAGCAATGATTATGAAATGCATGCTGTTTCGACGAAATGTATCAAGTATATGACAGAATAATTAACACCTTAATTACCTGATCAATTTTATTAAGCACTTCTGAACAATTACTATCCGCTGGTTCGTAGAAATTTCCATGGCATGCAACAATAGCTTCCTGTGCATGAAAAAGAATAATCTGAGACCAGTTGCTAATAGACAATGAGGCCATGATTATATTGGAGTGGTAGACGTATACAACACATAGCTTAACATTTGTTTTGTAACATCTTTTTGGCGGATTAGAATTGATCACTATCTTCTGACTACAATTTCATCTATGTTTGATCCACAGATGTATATATTCCAGAAGCTTATAAGGCTCCATTATGTGTTATGCTACAATAATTTGGAACATGTCCTAATTAAAAGCATTAGAGACTTCAAAGCATCATCTTTTGCCAGCTATATATATATGACTTCCAGAAATCAAAAACAGTTTGGGAAGTCAAATGATTCAAGCACTAAAAAATCATACAAACAACAAGAAGAAAATACCTCATATAAGTCATCTGAAATGAGGCCCATGCCATGTTGAAATGGAACAATAGCATTACCGTCTATTTTCTCATCTGTCACGCCATTTCCCACCATGTAACCCTGTGCGCAATAGAACGTAAAGAGTTTACAGCCCAAACAACTTGTTAACACGTGAAAATCTTGAAATGTATTATACCTTAAAGTTGATAGCAGGCTTTACTCCAGCATCAATACCTAAAAGACAGAGGTAGCAGAAGGTTAGTTTGTTTATCCCCTGCCTAGCAGTAGCACCAACCAATACATGAGATTACCTTTTACTACTTCAGAAGCCAGAGTTGGCACGTATATTCCAGCATAAGACTCTCCAGATATGTAAAATGGGTTCGTGAGGAACTCCGGATAGATCTCAAACCACTAGAAAGAGAGAGACAGTATCAATTAGTTGAACCATGAACGAGTTAGAAGGACAAAGAAATAAATGAATTTTACTATACAGAACAACTATAAAACTTACAACTCCACCGGTGTAAGCTGCTCACATTGCAGGAGGTTGATTGATAGCGTAAAACTTGTAAATTTAAGTATCGAATCAAGTTTATGTAGTTACCTTGAGGAGAAATGAGTGGCTATCAGATGCAGTCTTTAAGTCTCCTGTCACGTAGTCAGATTTATTGTTCGAGTAAGACAATCCAACGCCAACAGGAGAGTCCAGATATATTATATTGGAAACCTGGAAGAATCAAATAATAATGAACGGCTAATGAAATGTAAGCATATGATAAAAGTAAAATTAACACAAATAATAACCTTAGACCAACTGTATGGATTATTATGCAGAGAAGGCAGGCTACCACTTGGCTTTCCAAAATCAAAATTAAAAGGCCCTGCAATGTAAAGAAATACCCTTCCTTATTATAAGTGAAAAACAAGAAATATGATGAATAAGAATAGTAACTGCATCTCTATGGACTACATTTCCACATGGGTTCCGGAAAGGGTCTCACCCCGGCCTAAGGGATGAGATGTAGACGGTCTACTCTAATACAAACATTAGTGTCTGCTTCCACAAAAAAATGGAACTACTAACATGAAGA